TATCATAGTGTCGTAGAAATTAAGACGCGGCCAGCGCAAATACCTGTTCTTTCTCTCTCTCTCTCTCTCTCTCTCGCTCTCTCTCTTTCCGCTTCTATCCTCGCATCACGAAGTTTCCTTATGTCACTACGCTCGAACACTCGTCGAATTCGATCCGCACGTGGGACCTTATCAAGACTATCTCCAGAAGCGCGCGGGGGTACTAAGCTATTTTTTCATTAGCTCGCTTATTGCGACGCGAACGACGTGAACGCGCGAACGAACTTCTCGCGTTAGGCCGAGTGGTCTCCAAGTGTACGCGGAAGAAGACGGGAACGAAGGCTCGTCGTAGTCGTTTAGAGAAAGACGTAACGGACAATACCGTACTAGGAGACGCTAATACATATCTCTCTCTCTCTCTCTCTCTCTCTCCCTCTCTCTCTCTACCTCGAGCGGCCCTACAAGCTAATAAATTACAGATAGAAAAGGGAAAAATATCTCGATAGAAAAGGGACTCGCGCGACGCGTAGCGTGAGTGAATCCGGTTTAGCGCTTTTGTCGCGCGGATCGCCGAAAAGTACGGCCGAAATTGTCTTGTTCTCCTCCGAGGCGAGAGATCCTCGGCCAAGAGTAAATTTACGATCAAATAACGAACTTATCTGCGAAATTCAGCCGCCAACGATTGTCTCGCCCGGTCATCACGGTCTCCAACGGCGATTTAACGCGGAAAGACGTTCGCCTGGAGGCGCGATTTTCGTTAATTACTAATTTAATTACGTCCTTATGCGATACATGTCGCGAAAGATCGGCGATTACGTTTGCCGAATGATTGTACGACGCGAACGTGCCTGCATGCCCCCATGTAGAATGGCCGGGCGTTGCGACAGAGCTACTACGGCGGGCTGCCGAACTCTGATCATCGTCTCCTCTCTTGGGCGACGAGTCGTCATCTGATAAACGCGATCGAGTCGGTCGATCGATCGAAGTCGCATCATCGTCTCCGCCGTTCGTAGGCGAAGCATACGGTATCAAATGTGCGATCGGCGAATGTATAAGCTTTTTCCGGTTCACTCTCTTTGCCTTCTCACTTCTTCAGCGAAACATAATTCACGTGGGACGGTTATACCTTTAGAATAGACAGCGAAAACGCGGAGCAACGCGCGGGGCGCGTTAATTCGGCATCGAGGACAGAAATTGACGAGTCGAAAGTTTGATCGAAAGACGTAGGGGAGATTATTCTTCCTGCCGCTCCACTTTCTCTCTCTCTCTCTCTCTCTCTCTATCGCATTAATCGAACCTACCATCTCGCTCGCGCGATCGTAGTGTCTCAAAAGTGTATCTTACATTCGACGTGTACGACGTTACGAGAGTTTAGTTGATAACAACGGGTAATCATAAAAATCCTAATCCAGCCCTTCGAAGCGCCCGATGTCGCGCACTCTATACGTCGCGGAAACGATATTAAGGGCCAGTCGCTATACATATATGCGTGTAAACTCCGACAGTACTCGTAGATGCTACCGTACATTATCTCGGATAGAAAAGTGTTCTTGCGTGTCCGACCGTGCGAGCGCGAGAAGAGTCCTCGCTGGCGGAATCGCAGGGGCTCAGCACCGTAGCCGCAATCCTCGAGAACGAGTTACGCTCTAAATGAAATCAATTCGCAGGGTCATCGCTCACTCGTGCAGAAGGAACAACGGAGAAAAGTCTCGGGAAATACATACAGATTCGGCGTCGTGGAAAAGGAAAATGTAATGAACTTCGTGGCTCGAAAATAATAATAACGCTCCTCTCTATTGATCCGAAAGATGCAATTTTTCCTGGCGTGAGGCGGCAGCTCCTCCCGAACGGATTTTCACGAGATTTCTATAAATTCCTGGTCTTGAGCGTTATCGAAGTTCGACATCGTCGTGTCGCCGGGGACTTGTATCGCCGAACGTGTCGGTTATTTTTCAACCGGATTGCGCCCGTCGAACATACAAACATAGATGCCCAAATGTTTATCCATATCGCGCGCGAAAGTTGTATTTTATTTAATCGATATATCAACCGCGAAGAGAGCAAGGCGGATTTTCGTGAAATGTCATTTGTTTCAAGAGCGATGTTAATTCTTAATATCAGATTTGGTCTCGAGATATCTTAATGTCGGATAAGGGCCATTCAACAATTACGTCACGCAAAATTTGGGTATTTTTGATTTCTCCCTCCCCTTCGTCGCTATTTCGTCACAAAGTATCTGCCTCCTTTCATATAATCATATTACGGGTAATAATTGTTAGACTGTACGTTACTATCTTTTTTTAAAATACAAATAATTCTTAGACATATAATATAAAATGAATCGCTTTATTCTACAATTTTTATTAGTAAAGTTGTGCTTTTAAAAGAAATTAACATTTTCATTATTAACCCAAAACCATATCAAAACTTTAAAATCCTCATCAAATGTAAACAATGTGTCACGAATGCAAAGTGGATTACCACGCGCATTCATATTTACAAGTTATGCTATTTAATGTTATGACGTAATTATCAAATGGCTCTGCACAGAATACTTTCGCAAAGGAAATACGCAAAATAATATAAAATTTATTTTACAAAATATACCTGACTGGTATTCAATCGCAACGTCCGTGCAAAAGCGATGAGCGCGTTCCTCGTGAAAAAGTCACGAAACGCCAAACCACGCGTGTGGATAATTATTATCAAAATAATGTATGTAGATTGCTTAATTGGTGAGTACAAAATTCATACGCTCGAGTTTCACGATGCAACGATATTCGCCGCGTTCGCAAAAAAGGCTCGCTAGATGAGCGTATATCGGAAAAAGTTCCCGAATCGCCCATCATCGTGGCGAAAAAAGTTCGATAAAAGTTTTAAGCAATTAGTCACAAAGCGAAATAGGAAATTGCACGGAGAGCAGCGGGATGAAACGAATAAAAATACTTCGGCCGTTTCCTCGCGGTAGCATGAACTATTCTTGCGCATAGTGCGCGCACACACACACACATACATGCGCGCGTGTACATACTCAAGAGTACGCACACATACGCGCGCTTTTATAATTTATCGCCAATACGCTTCGTTCCTCTCGTTCTCCCGTTCACTCCCGCACCCTACAATCTCGGCTTCTATTGACAATTTATCTTACAATTGACAACAACAATGTGGCCCTTATCCAAACTAGCCTCTCGACGTGTAACTACAAACGATTGTTAATAACGAACGTTCTTTATGTACAGCTTTCTACATTGCGCACAACGCGAAAACGTACGAGGCCGTCGTCGTCGGCTGACGGGAGCTCTCCTCCCCCTCATCGAGATAGCTCGTCCTTTCCTCCCTCCTGGAAGACATATAAAAAAGCACTAAAACCTATTCCGGCGTTCGTTCCCGATGTTTCGCAAGTTGGTCTCGCGTGACGTGGCATCACGGCGTGTGAAAAGCTCATGTCGCGCTCGTTGATGACGTGGATCGATACTTATTCACGTGTCGACGCGAGCCACATACGTATGTGTATATTCGAGCGAGTGAATAGACGTCGAGAGCGCGACCCCACGCGCGCCGATTCCTTCCTTCGCCGACGCGACGACCTCGCGGCTTCTTACCGTCTACGGCATTATTCTTCTCACGTGTTACCTCTAAATCGTTCTTTCGTTGTTGGCATTTCGGTGTGTGACCTACCCGTCGGATTGAATTCCACAATAAACTGCGAGTCACGAGCTCTCGTCAAAGATCGTAAACGCGCTCCTAGAAATTATGGCTCGTTTCCATGCAGATTAGGCAGCCCCCGAAACCGCTCAGCACCGTAGACGTACGACTTTTAGTACAAAATTATCATGATAGACGTCGGACCACCGCTGGATTACGCGCAATTACGTTCGCATGAATAAAAAGGGGGAGAAAAAACAATCGGAGATCTTCGGGGGAAATCCATTCGTCGAGACGCGACCGTTAGACGGTTAATTTGACCGAACCTCATGAATAATTCAAGCTGAACGCTCGTCTGCTGCTTCTGTTCGGGGTGAGCTCTTATTGGCAGAGCGTGCTCGAATCGAGGGCAGCCAGTCTGTATCGAGACGAAATATCAACGAGCGACGCTTTCGAACACGGCGACAATACAATCGACGATGCGACCACGCGCCGCATAGTCGAGCTTCGCGATTGTATTTTTCGCGGCGCGGCATGTACATCATCCCCGCGGCATCCCGTCGGAATCACAACTACACCGCGACTTACATCCTAATTAGCACGCTGCCGATCCGAGATGTCCGAGACACAAATTGCCGAAATTAAGGGAAAGGGGAATAAGACGACGATCTTAAGGTATGTCGAATTTTCCTCACTTTCATAGTAACGTGAAAATAATTATCAGTTTTTTTCTGAGTAGCCAAAGCCTTACCTATCATCTGTATAAACTGAACATTTTTTTAAAAAGTTGGAATTTTGTTTAATTTACATTTTTTGAGAACGTGTCAATTTCATCATCTTGCCCCCATATGTGGATACGATAACGAAAGTTAAAATTAAATGATTTTATGCGCGCAAGAAATCATTTTCGCAGCTTTCTTATATCATTACGTTATCATAATGTCTGTATAGTATAATAAAATATAAATAAAAATATTATTTACGTACAAAAAATATGATTTGTGACAATGTAACTTAAGGAAAAAATAAAATCTAGACAAAACAACAAAACAATTATTTACGATCATATAATTTAATAAAATATATGTGTCATTTTATCCGCATTTATAATATTCACCCATGATATATCATCTTAGTCACTTTTTAATTTAGTCATCTTTCAATTTACAAAATACTGCAATATAAGAAATAAAAAAATAATAATATGTTATTATATGCGTTTATAGATATACTGTACTGTAGCACTTTTATAGAGAAGGCGAAAAGATTTACTACAATTGTTTGCAATTCTGTGTATGAAGAAATGCGACAAAATCACATGTGAATGTATCCAAAATACATTTCTTATTATATTATCTACTGTCGTTGACAGATTCAAGTCAAACTAGAACAGATTACTTATTATTATTAAAAACTTCTAATGAATGAGCCCCGACTCATTATTATTTTAGAAAAATTAGCAAATCGTCATCTTACCCCCTTTTCTCCTACTCCTTTTCTCTCTCTCTCTCTCTCTCTTTCTCGTCCGCCTGTCTAGCGGGACGAAACATAGCTTCCCACGACGTTGATTCCTACGACGTCGTCGTGGGACACTCTGGCAGCCTTCCTCCATGAAAGAACCCCGACGACGGCCGGAAGTGAGCCGAGAACGACGGACAAGAACGATGCACTTCCGTTCGCGGAGGTTTCCGCTCTAGGGCGGCGCCGTGACGTTCTCGGGCACAGAGTTGTCCCTGTTCAGAGAATTCAGCAGCTCCTCGTTCTCCTTCCGCACTGAAAGAACGACAATAGGGCGCCGGGTGAGCGAGGCGGGAATGCTCGTCGGTATCAATCACCGTCGCGATATCACGACAGGGGGTGCGAACGCGCATTTTCATAATGGCTCCAACGACAGATCCGCGAATTTATGCGCTGTACTTTCTCTTAGCGTGACAGATTTTTCCTAACTTTCGGTGACGCGGCTAACTTTAACTGCTCATGAATGAGAAACGGCGCAAACTTAAATTATTCCTCGTGCCGAGGGCTGCACGAGCTCGTAAATCCAGACCCTCGATAAAATGGTACCGCGGGACTACCAAATCATTGAAACCAAATCAGAAATTAGTCAGAGGCATGTTCTCAAAGAGGCAGGTTCTTAAATTCTCGAAATGAAAACGACAGGCAAGTGCGAAATAAAGACGACGTTGTTATAAAGTTAGTAAGCAACTTCCAACACGGTGTACGTGTGTGTTGTGTGTGTGAATTTCGAAAATTTCAGTATTCTAAGGCGCAGCTATCTAGCTCGGAGTTAGTATCTACGCGCTCTCAATTGCAGATTTACATTGCGCTCTGTGCTCGGCCAGCTCCTTCGAGCCCGTCACGGGGCTCAGGAAGCTGCTGTGCGTTAAAGTGACCACCACCACCAGCACCGAAGCCACTAGCAAGAAGATGAAGGTCCCAAGAACGACCATGGCGATGCGTCGGTGACGCCTCGCCTGCTCGGGATCGCGAGCATCCTCGATTATCTTCAGGGACTGCTTAACATCCGTTCTTGTGGGGCGAACGGAATCCCGTCGGGTGCTTACGCTGCTCCCCCTTCGCGGCCTGGTTTTCTTGCAAACACTGGCTCTTCTATCATCTCCTGAAGTTTCACGTCGTCGTATGCATTAATGTTAAAAACGTTCCTCCGTGCCCCTCTCCCCTCTCTTCGCGGAAATTGATCGATAATCACTCTCGGATACTTGAACGAAATGCGATGAGACATCATACGGTGTAACTGAGCGATGAGGAATCGCAAAAGCATAAAGTACATTAAGTCGGTGCGAAAGACTCGTTTTCTATGAAATTCTCGCGAGAAGTCCCTGGGTGTTGAAAGGAGAATAAGTCTTCGTGGAATGTAAATGAAAAAGATACCAAGGCGACGTTGTTCGTTCCATTCGTAAAAATTACAATGTCCAACATTACTTTGAAACACGAGTGTGAATAGTCATTTTCTATGTATTTTTGCCTGCCGAATATGAACTCGTTGTTTAAATTTACCTATCACAGTTTTGATAAAAATGACAAAAAAATAAAAAACGAGGATTTTAAAGGTTTTCGTTGTATCACTGTCAATAAATTGTTTCAAAATTTTATTAATGCTACGCGAAAGTTTTAACTTTTATCTTTAAAATGCAGTTTGTTTCGTTTTGGTATAATTTTCCGTTTTCGCGCTACAATGTCATGAAAATTTTGGAAATTGTTTCTAGCCTCTTTGATTTTTCTCAAACGTGATGGCCAATTTTCGACAATGGTGTTTGGCAGTTATTCTGCCTTCCCACTTTGACGATCTTCGATGTCTTGAACGTTTGACTCGCTTTACAATGTCATCTACTAATTGGTTTACTGTACTATTTATTTCCATTGAAGAGGTTTGGGTGAGGGCCGAAATGTTTAATTATTTACGATAATAAAAATTTGACTAGATCTTAATTTTTTTCTTTCAAGGGTTTATTAATTCGTTTTACGGCATTATTAAATTCGCGCTTGGTTACGGCTTTGTTACAGCTCTATTCTCTTTAATTTCGCAGTTTCCTTGTGCCACTTCCTTTCTTGATTAAATAATTTCATTTTCTATCATTTATTTAACGCGACAAACGCAATGAGCCTTTTGCATCAACCTAATATTTTCCGATTGTAGATTCGACAGTAATATTAAGCGTGCAAAGATATTCGAGGAAGAAATATTAAAGGAGATATCGACGTGTATCGAGAGGAAATGTCAAGTATGTATTCTCTAAATTTTCTCGAGTGAAATTCCACTACAAAGGCAGAGTGACAAATTGAGTTATTCAAGTTCGCACGCGCGACTTTTCACTCGTATAAAGTGAATCCTTCACTTTGAATCGTCGAGTGGACATTTTCATTTGAAATTTCAGAGCGAATCTGACGTACAGTCGGCGTCATACATATTGTAACATTCCTTAGATTAAAACCTTTTATTATTATACGATTTTTAGCTTTTCACATGTACATATAAAGTTGAAATTATTAATTGCAAATAGAGTCATTATAACTCTACCATATTTTAACTAGAGTTATTTCTGCAATTCTCAATTTTGTTCACTGTGTAAAGCAGTGTCTAATGAAAAATTAAGGCGTAAGCTTTAAGCTTTAAACCGTATTAAGAAATTGACTTCAATCCCAATCGATTATTCTTCACATTCGACCGTGACTGATCAATCTCTTATGGTTTAAGACTTACATAAACTTTATGTCTTATGCTGTAATTTTTCATTGTAGCTTTAATTTCTCATTCACACCGCTTAAGGTTGAAAATCGTATAACTCATCGTCTGGAAATGTTGAGCGTACACAACGCCAACTATATTCTATTGGAACACATTCACTTTAATCGATTAAAATATTTATTCGACCAAATTAACACCATTCACCATCAGTGTCACAAATGCATGATGTATCGATCTCTCACCAGAGACCACTGCCAGACATGTGTGACCCATTATGGAAATACTCAATTTGCCTGTTTAATACATATTATGTATGCACAGTGTAAACATTTGCTATATTAATTAAAGCTATTAAAGATAATTTAAAAAAATTCATCCCGAGTGGCGGCATTTTCATTATCGCACCGAGTGAATTTTTCACTCGCTTTGAGTGAGATTTCACTTCGAAAATTTTAGAGAGCGTCTCCAAATATGGACTCTCGAATGACGAAGTTGCGACAAAGTTGTCCGAACTGCTAATTGCACTTCCTTCTCTGTGATCAGTTTGACATTGTATAAGAGATTCTCTCCTCTTTATTTCAATAACCGCAATTATCTCTTCCTACCTAAGGGCGTCGGTCTGCTGCAGCTGTTCGCCCGGGAACGACTCGACTGGACGCTGGAACGTCTGCTGGACTGCTGATCGACGTCTAAATTGGATCTCGAGCGTCTCGGGGCGTTCGCCTGAGAGCATAGCGGATTAGAACAAGGCAACCTCTCGCCGGGATTCAGAGGATAAAGAGCGGAACGATCGCCCAGCTGGAGGCCGTCGGGACTGGGCGGGTACAGGCTGGAACGGTGATCCATGCGCGGGCCGTCTACGGACAGCGCGTAAACATCATCGGGACCTCGGCCGTGGAATTCCGGCGATAGGTCTTGGCCGGTCGCCGCCGCGAAGTCGTCCACGTAGAGGATTATTCTCTCGAACGATGCGGCGCTCGGTCGCCGACTACGCTCGTCTCGGCGATTAACGTCCATGACGAGAGCGAATTAACGATTTCAGAAACGCACCTGGAAAGCCGCTCGTCCGACTTTACAGCTTCGACGTGTCGATCATTCTCTCCCTTGACGGGCGAATTTCGAAACCCCGCGTAAATGATCGCGTCTCGACACTCATGAGCCAGCTGGTTCTGTGCACCATCGCATTATCGATGACGCGCGTCGCATTACCTGCCGAGGTCACATTACCCATCACTTTCTCACTGCTAAATTGGAAGTTCGCCTCGTCACAGAGAGGAACTTCTACCAGCGACTCCGAAAGGCGATTATTCACCTCTCGGAATAATTCGATTCGTTCTGGAAAAACCCTGGATTCTTTATTCGACGGACAGAAGAGGTTGGATTTTTATGCTGAGAGTAGGTGATAAATAACTGAAAAGCTATTTATATCGCGTTGTAAAGGACGATTAAAGTAGATCGACCGCGGTTTTCATGGGTTGCCATCGTCGTCAGAATAGAACACTGCCGCTTTCGCGTTTAATCGCGACCACGACGACGCCGCAACGAGCTCAAAGGAGCCACATCATCTTCCGTGAACGTCAGCGGCGTACGAATATTTCTGCGAGAGCGTCACGAGCGCTCCTCATACATGAGAAGTTTAGAACACCTCGCGTTATTTATTCGACACCAAATTATTCAAGATATTAACAAGGGTGGGAACGATGTCTTTTGGAAGTGTTCAATTATCTGTAAACTGTCTACTCTTCACAACGATTGTTTCTCCTGGATATCTATTTAACACAAGTCTCTCGGTATCTCTCCGTTTCGGACGATGGGTAAAATGGGCTGATTTTGGCGTAAAAGTAAAAGTGGCAAGTAAAAATAGTATCTCTTTGTAGTTCTTGAGCTGCTGCATCTGATTCTGACTTTTAAACAATTTTAAATGATCGGGAAAGTATTAAAGTCAGCATATGAAGCTATTAAATACGTAAGAAGATTATTATGAGAATAGTATGTTAATGAAGGTGTAAAACTATAATAAAATAAACAATATTAAGTGAAAATCGACCGATATGTGAAGAACATAAATTAATAAATGAAGAAGGCCTTATTCGGTCAAAGCGAATCTTGGTTAAAAATATATTTTGCGTAAATCTTACAATTTCCAATAGTAAAGTACTACAATAGTAAAATACTTTTAATGAACGAAAATCTATATATTATACATGGAAGAATATATACATAAAAAAAAAATATTGAGGAAAAAACCAATAAGACGAATAAAATAATTACATTTTGCGAGGATGTGACTATAAGAAGGTTCCTCTGTATAGAATATATGGACGTAGGCTAATTAGAACATGGATTATTAGAGCGTCATCATGTTTTATTAGCAGGGAAACACGAATGAATACGTTCGTAAAGTACAATCATAATAATAATTTACGGTATTAGATGTTTAACAACTTCATATATTTATTATAATACCTTCCTTATTTTAATACTTTCGTGACAAATTAAAATTTTTTGGAGATTAGAATTGGATTCAGCAATTTAAAAACTATAAAAAAACATACCATTATTACTT